TCTCACGACTCAACTCAATGCCCAGCCCCAAGAATGGGTTCTGCATACTGGCTCAACTGCCCATCTCACCCCTCATATGAGCAATTTACCTACACAGGCTCAAACAAAGTAGAGGCTGACAATGGTCAAAACACTGCCATCACTCTCATGTTGGCATTGCCATCCTTCCAGCCCCTGATAGTAAGCTTAAACTATCTCCTATCTTTAGAGCACCTAAATTATCTCATACTCTTATAATCGTTAACATGCTTACAAAAGACAACAATTGCCAAGTTATGTTCAGTGGTAACAACTTTCAAATTCAAGATTCAACAACCAAAAAAATCCTTCTACTGAAACAGTTGATCAAGGGTTTTACCCAATCACAACCTTCGGCATTGGTACAAGCTCAAATATCTGACATCAAATATTGGGGCACCCTCACAAGAAAGTCGTGTCTATGACATCTCACTTGCATTTTCATTTCAAAATTCCTATGACTACTCGTTCATATGATTGTTATCAAAATAAAAGGCACAAAAATCCTTTTGCTTGCAGCTCTACTACTTACAACATATTAGAAATGTTGCATTCTGATATTTGGGACCTTTTCCTCATTTTCTATTGAAGGATACAAATATTATGTTATTTTTATTAACTTTTTTTCTTGCTTTTGTTTGTGCATACCTTTAGGTCAAAAATTTGATGCCACAACACACTTTATTTTCTTGTACAAAATGTTAAAAAATCAAGTCAAAACCAATATAAATACTTGAGAACCGATGGAGAACATGAATATATGTCAAATGCTCTTAACATTTATTTGCAAGATCAAGGCATCAAACATCAATTTAGCTGTTCATATACCCCGGAACAAAATGGCCTTCTGAACGAAAAATGCGTCATTTAGTAAAAAATGTTAGAACTCTTTTCAACACAAATCGACTTCATCTACAATTTTGGATGAAACCTATCCAAACTGCAAATTATATCATAAATAGACTTCCCTCTACAACCACTCACAAAAATCTCCTGTTCAATTAATATACAAAACCAAACCTTAATATCATCATCTTAAAACCTTTTGGTGTCTTTGTTTTCTCTAGCAACCTCAGCACATTTCCAATAAACTCTCTTCAAAAGTCTTGCAATTTATATACATATTTTTGGATATAGCCCACAATACAAAGATTATAAGTACTTTGATTTTCAGAAAAATAAATTCTCATCTCATGTTATGTTATTTTTGTTGAAGATCACTTTACCTGCTATTCATCCCTAAACAACGCAATTCTGAGCGTTCCATCAGCATACTATATTACTACCTTCTCTACTTATACCTACATCTACTATTTTAGCTAACATTTCCTCACCTCCAATTACACAATTACTCCCATTTAAGCATCCCATCTCACACACCTGCTAGGCCACTCCATTTCACATTACCTCTCCCACGCAACACCCACACAGAAACCTCTTGAAGGCAAGTGGCAGACTAGAAATCCACTTATCTCCTTGGAAGAAGAGCATAGGAGACAAGTCTCGATGGGAAGTTAGTAGTAAACGCTCATCACTCAAAAGACTCCATGAGAACAAGTGATTGATAATGTCTCCACTCAAAAATCTCTGAAGACTAAGAGCCTCAAACTGTACATAGATATTAAAAATCTCAAAAGGCTGCAAACCTAATTAGATATAGGTACATTAAAAATCTCAGAATGTTATGAGCCTCAGAAGGTACATATATATCAAATGTCTTAGAAGTGTACAAGTCTTAAACAGTATATGTACATTAAAAACCTCAGAAGGCTACAACCCTCGGAAGGTACATGTACATCAAAAATCTCATAAGGCTACAAGCATCATAATATACGGTTGCAACAAAAATCTTAGTGATCTACAGGCTTCAGAAGGTACATGTACATTATAAACCTTAGAAAGCTACTAGCTTTTGAAGACACAAACCTCCAAAAACACGAGTCTAAAAAAGTGCATAATTTTTTTTTATGCAAAGTGCATGTGCTAACTTTGTTTGCAGATTTTTACGTATGTGAAGCCAAAAATCTCAAACTAATGTAAGCCTTAAAAGAGTCATATGGTACCGAGCACTTATTGGGAACAATACTTCAATTGGATTATGTTTGATTTGAGACTTTTCAAAAAATGTCGCACGGAATTAATTTTCATACATAAAACAAAAGAAAAGCCTAAGCAAGGCTGATATTGTTTAACCTGACAATATAAGAACACATGAAGAAAAAGAAGACGTTCGGGAGGCAGATAGCCAACAAGTCGAAATCACTAGATAATATTAACGATTACATCAGTCTGACTCATATAATAAAATATAACTCAGCGCGGGAAAAAAGAAAGAACACAAAGAAAAAGGATGACAACAACAATTTGACTCGTACAACAGAATATAGATGAAGATGCAAAAAACAAAAAAAGAAAAATGGAGTGCTACTTGATGTCAATGTTCTTCTGAAGCCTGGCTGGGGGTAAGTCCATTTATGTCAACCCAGGTCCGACGACACACTACTCGAGCCTCCTTCATGAAACTCCAGATAAATCCCTCCCCAATGCCCTCCTTTTGTAGCTCCTTCATCACCATCTTGTTCGGAAATAAAAATTCTTCCGTAATAGCTTTAGGCCATTCTCTGTCAGGTTCGATATCACCTCTTTGGGATTTTGATTTTTTCAATTATTTTCAGTAAGACAAGGCTCTCCAAACGTCAGTATCTTGAAGCACAAAAATCTTCTTCGAGATAATGCAAAAAAGGAGCTCCGTTGATTGCACAAAAACAAGAAGGGAGACTCCAACCTAAGCAACAACAACTCAAAAAGAAGTTCTTTTAATCACATAAAAATAGGCTTGGAGACTTCAATTTTTCTCCTCATTTTTGCCTCTTTATTAAGCAAAAAAAAAAAAAAAAAAAAAAAAAAAAAAAACCAAAAATAGACAAAATCTTGACCAATCCTAAATGGCCTATGTGGGTTGTTCGATTGCGCGCAGTCTGACGGCAGAGGCAAGCGATCCGCATGAAAACATGTGGCCCGCATGTTTCACGTGAAAAGTTGTGACTGCGCCAATAACTGCACATCCGCACGATCTTTCCACTCAGATCAGCCCCAAATGGGATCCTCGACATTGGATCACACAATCCGCGTGACATGGAACTACGCAAAGTGTTGTTTGATCTTGTATCCTAAACTTATTTTGTTACCCCTTAATTCTAAATTTATCATACATTATTTAAGTGTAAGATGCACACAATAGAGAGATGATGGATTAATGCACGTATATAACATGATGAACTAAATTAAAATCTAAAAAGTACTGTTAACTTTTTTATATAAATTTTTATTAAGACCAAGAGGAGAATTTGATCATGTAAAATTAATACAAAATAAGGGCACAAACAATTGACATTTTTCTTCGTCTTTAACAACTACTTATTATAACATGTGCTTTAATGATCAAGAATTATTTGAACTATCATCCAATCATCATTTCATGCATGGAAGATTGATATCACAATGTTTTTTATCATATTAAAATGTGTCAATTGCAAAAAGAGAAAACTTGAGTCGGGAGAAGTAAACCAGTTAATTGTGCTTCAGCATCAACACTTGCATCCACATCTTGAGTATAACATTTGAGAATTCCATTTATTTCTCTGTTAGCTATGGAAGGAGAGAAATTTCTCTCAATAAGTAATGAAAAAACCTTACACTTTATCTTTCACTCCAAGTAGAAATATGATTAATGTCACTAAAGTCCGCATGAGCTTGTTTAGATCAATATACCTCTCCCAACACAAATCTCTAGCTCATAAAGCGGATACATCTTCAAATCTAATGCTTATAATGTATATAGAAGAAGAAGATTACTTTTTTAACTACAATTGCATAAAATATTTTTAAAATTTACAAATTAAATATCTAACAATTTATCTAACAAAAAATTTATTTCTATGCTCTCTCACTAATTATAACCATCTTCACATTTATAGTGAATAAAAATTAATTTATATTAAGTTCTTAAACTCAAAATTTTAAATATCCAAATTTAACAAAATATTGATGATTGTACAATATGGTTCTCATTATATAATATAATCAATAAATCTGAATGTTTTTTTATCCTTCCATCATAATTGCTTAATTATATTAATTTAGAAAATTTATTATGTAATATGACATAAATCATATAGTATGATTAAGGTTAAAATTAGTTTAATCAAATAAATTTTATTGGTGATTTGATCCTTTAAAATAAAGGCTAGTCATACTATATAATAATTATTATATATATGATTAGCTTATATTTTGAACATCATAATCAATACAAATTTATTTGATAGTGATTTTATGGTACAATATATATCATGCAGTATAAAATATTGTATATATAATGCAGCATAAAAATATTGTGATTAGTTTATAATAACTATTTATTATTTTCTCGTTTAAATCACTCATATGCATGTACTATTTGTGTTAAAAAACTCTATATTCAAATACACATATGGCTAAAAAAATAAAAATATATTTCATCACATATAGCTCCAACTTTGTTTTTTGCTAACTAGCTTGATCTTTTGGCATGACCAAACTTTTAATTACTTTATATATGAAGAAATTCTTTTGGGCTCCCTTTTTCTCAAAGTTAAGTAAGTTCTTTTTTCAGCTAGTTAATAATCACTGCTCGTATAGTATTTTGATTTACTTATAATTACTTGATTTTGATATGGTATATTTAGTAGTTATCTTAAGAAATTTAAAAGTTAATTTTATGACTAGTTGATTCATTAGTATTTCATGATTTTTTGTTTGGATATAATTTTGCTTTATTAAAATTGATTGTGTTACATTTAATTAGATTTTCTTGTTGATTTCCATGTTATATTGTCATGAACATTTATTATCTCTATACCTCTTTAATGTTGTAGTGGGCTTCAAGTAATATATTTAGTTATTGTTCCTTATTTTTATTTTATCAATGTGTGTTGTTTTAGTAAAGAGCTACGAGGAGCTAGATCAACGTTCGACATCTCGGAGGAGGATCGATGGGTGGTTTTAGGGTAAGCCAAAAAAAAAGAGTATCAATCTCCCTTCTCGGTAGCACCTCCTTCGGCTTCCCTCCCACTAGAAATTTTTTCAAGTGTTCTTATTGTCCAAAAATATTGTCATCTTTCTGTTTATCAATAAGATTATTTAAGCTTATGTTATTTCTTGAATTGAAATTTATCCATTTTTGCTTTTGTTTGTAGTTTCATCAGTACCAAGTGGTTGGCCGTGCCCTTCCGACGCCAAGCGATGAACATCCAAAGATTTATCGCATGAAGCTATGGGCTACTAATGAAGTTAGGGCTAAATCTAAGTTCTGGTAGGCAGACCCCCTTATTGTGTTTTCGACATTTAATAATTTGTCTTGATTTGGATCTCGTTTTTCCTTTGTAATAGGTACTTTCTGAGAAAATTGAAGAAGGTGAAGAAAAGCAACGGCCAAGTTCTAGCTATTAATGAGGTTTGTTTTTGTCTGATTTTCTCAGTTTAATTGTCGCATTGAAATACTAATTTTATTTGTACTATCAACAAATTTAATTTACTTCTTGTCTTTATATGGTAAGCTTCATGTTTTTGTAATGACATGATTTGATAGATGTTCACTAATTCTTTAAATTAGAAGATGAAGTATGCTTACTTTTAATGTTACTTTAAAAACTGTGTCAATTGCTTATCGTGTGCTGATTGTTTATTTGTTTTTTTTTCCTTTTTTTTTTTTGGTTAAATGGTATAGTTTTATTATTTTATTTATCCTTTTGGTAATATGTCGGAGGTGGGGATCACATATTACGTGTTGATTGGATTTCTTAATTTGTTTTTGTTTGTTGGCTGAATGGAAAACAATACGGTAGTTATTCTACTTTTGAGAGAATACAGGCTCGTCAGATTATTTCCATCCCACACTCAAAATTGACACATTTTTCTAGCAAGATTTACATACATATCACTTAATTCTTATGTATTTACATATCTAACATCAAAACTTCAATTTTTACATACACACCACCTTACCTATGAATCAAACGGTGTATTTGGCTTCCTAAAAGTTAGAATGAAGATGTTTTTGCTGTGATATGAAAGATTTGGGTGGTATAAATGAAAAGAGAAACAAAAATTAGGGTTAGATTTCGAAATACATAGAAATTAGGTGGTATGTATGTAAAGGTCCTTTTTAAAAGTAATTCTTAATTCATTAATTGTTTTAAAAATTCTATTTGATTCTTAATTGCCGCATGTTTCTATATATTACTACTAGTGAGAACCTGCCATTGCTCTATATAAATGTTCAATTTTTGTTTTCTTACAAATGAGTTAACCTAAGTAGTTTTCTCTTATAAATTTTATCTCAGCCTATAATATTGATAGGAACAACTACAACAATTATATTTTGGAAATAGTGAGGCTGTGAGCAAAGCTTAATAAATTGAATTTACAAGAAGTTCATATGCTACGGCTAGATGATACACCAGGACATCAAGCGATAAGCCCAAAATAGGGAAAAATTTTCTGTCTGGACTCTGGACGTGCTCTACGCGCGGACTCCAGTAATATGCTGCCACGTGTGTTACATCGCGGATGTTACTAGGAGGTTATTGAAGTGAAATCGTGTAGGTTATTAGGGGGTTATTGCAGTGGTTAATGCAGGGGGTTATTGAAGTGGAACCGCAGAGGTTATTTGGGGGTTATTGCAGTGAGTTATTGAAATAGAATCATAGAGGTTATTAGGGGGTTATTGCGGGGGTTATTGGAGTGGAACTGCAGAGGCTATTGGGGGGTTATTGAGTGGTTATTGTGGTGTTATTGAAGTTAATTTCCCAATAACTCTCCAATAACATCTCAATAACCCTCCAAATAACATGTGCGCTTTCACTTTAATATTTTTTTAGGTGGGCTCGTTATAGCAGCACACTTGGCGGTATATTTCTGGAGTTTGCACTTAGAGTTACGTTCGGAGTTCGAACAGGATTTTTTCCCAAAAAAGGAACACAAATAGTGATTTAAAGGACTTTTTTTAAAAAAAGTGTTTTGAAGGACTCTGTTGAGGCTTGAGTAGGTGTTCTGAATACGCAGAGCTCAAATCAGGTTACTATTGTCTCCACTAACTTGAAGGGAAATAGTAATTCCTATCATATTTATCATATAAGAACAAAATATCCATTATTTAACAAACAGTAGCTGCCTTAAGAGCAGATAGAAATCACAAAACCTATAATAACACCCAATGGAACAATCTTAAAAGGTAAGCATGCATACAATGTGAACCATAGAGGCATAGGTATCATAAAAAGAATTGAATATGAACAACGTTTATATAAAAAAAAAGAAACTAACGAAAAGCTGCAAAGAAATAGGAGCTCTTATTAGATCATCCGAAGGACAAATAAAATCAGCTAATGTTTTATCCAATTCAACATTGTTGGCATTTTTCTTAGGTATCCAAGTTGGGTTTCATTTCATTGTGCTGTTCGATGTACACATCACATGTGATCTTTTAACAATAAGTTGTTGGTTATTTAAGTAATGACTATTTATTATTTCTCTCCATTCAATGGTTAAATAAGATAATCAAAATTGTTAGGAGATATAGATTGGATGGCTAAATGAATTCAAATGATAAATTTGGTAAGTTGGAACATTCCCACAAATTATATAATCTTTGCTTTCAGTTAAGAGAGTCCATGACCTAGCCTACTAAATAGGTGATTGCAGTCCTTAATTAGGGATTTGGAAGAGGAAAGAGGGAGACCTAATAATTTAAAGGAGAAAACAGTGCATTTGATGTCAAGGATCTCACTCGTGTAGACGGTGTTGTGGTTAGACTTCGCAAGCGTATTTTAGCCTCATTGAATTTGGATGCAAGCTTAAGAATAATGTGCCCTAAGAATTTATGACGGCTTAGGTTTGGATTTTCCAAAAGTAAATAAATTTTAAGAGGATTGATGTAAACATCTCTTGGGATAATTTTCATTGAAAATTTCTATATCAATATTTATCAGTATCTAGGAAAAAATATGGGGGAATATCCTTTGTCGATTGTTATGTTTTGAGTCGATGTACCTTGAACTCACCATTGATAATAATAACGAATGATACAGCAATAGTGGATGCCTTAATTGATTTAATGAACATGATGGAACTAATTTTAGTGGCCCATGTCTTATTTAGTTTTTTCTTGGTATTAAAGGTTTTATAGTCGTCAGTCTTTGTAAGAAAGATCTTTTTTATGGTTAATAATGAAATCCTTAGGATCTCAATCACAAGAATTTGGAACGAAGTTATCCAGATTGTTAAGGAGCAAGGAACATGTTTTGCTCTCCTTTGGACAGCAAAAACTTATTTTTCTCTTTTTGAAAAAGTTGATTAGATCTAAAAACCTTTACTTTGATACACAAAATGCGAAGGATCACCACTAACATAAATTCTCTATGTATCATAAATATATTTAACACAAATTTTGCATTTTACACCACCAAATCTTTCATATCACATAAAAAAACCATCATTTTAACCTCTAAATTTGAAATACACCTTTTCATGCTTAGGTAAGATTGTATGTATTTAAAAATTGAAATTTACGTGTTAGACAAGTAAATAAATAGGAATTGAGTGGTATGTATCTAAATCTTCCAAAAATTTATTATATGCATAATGTGCATCAGCTCACAGCTATAACTTCAAGTTTGGTCAGTGCTCGGGTGGCATCTACTTTTCAGTTTAGCCTGACAGGATAGCAAATTTATTGTAAAATGTCAGTGTTGATTTTTCTTGGATAGCTCGTGGGTGGTAAATATTCCTACTAGAAAGGCAAAAAGCTTAGTGTAGAACGATTGGTAATAAAACCTATTGGAATTGGAAAATTTTAAAACTTTGATTAGAATATCTTAGCCTAAAATTTGATATCATACATTCGGCTTTTTAAAATAGTGGCATTTACAAACATGTCACAGATTTCTTATGTCTTTACATATCTAACATGTAAACATTCATATTACATGCACTCCACTCGAATCTTTAACATCACGTCAAAAATATCACACATCATTATCTTTTTAAAAGTGAAATACACATTTTCATACATAGATTTATAACACCAATGTGTTACACATATAAATATCAAATTCCAAGTATTAGACATGTAAATACATTAAGAAATATGTGGTATGTATGTAAATTTTCCTTTAAAATATTGATTTGGCTGACACTTGCAATTTTTAGATATTTGAAAAATATCCAACCAAAATCAAGAACTACGGCATTTGGCTCCGCTACCAGAGCAGACCCGGCTACCACAATATGTACAAGGAGTACCGGGACACGACGTTGAACGGCGCCGTCGAGCAAATGTACAACGAGATGGCGTCTCGCCATCGGGTTCGTTTCCCGTGCATTCAGATTATAAAGACTGCGACTATTCCCTCGAAGCTCTGCAAACGCGAAAGCACGAAGCAGTTCCATGACTCGAAGATTAAGTTCCCTCTTGTGTTCAAGAAGGTGAGGCCGCCGTCCAGGAAGCTCCGGACGACCTTCAAAGCTTCCAGGCCCAATCTCTTCATGTAGAAGGCTTGATTGGTTGGTTCTTTGTATTTTTTGCATGAAGTTTACTGATGGTTTATGTTTGAGTTTGAATTTGGTTGGATTTTGGTAATGTTGGGATCCCGAACTCTACAATTTTTATCTTTTATGCTTTGTTGTTTTTGATTCTTTTTGTAGTAGTTTGGATGTTTGATTTTGGTACTGGGTGAATATGGTAAAATTTGCTTCATTTGATTTATTTTAGATCTGATTTTGTGATTGTTTGGTTTGCAGAAGAAGTTATGCAGCATAAAATAAATGCAAATAAATGCTATGTAAGAATAATGTGTTGTATTTAAAATATTTTGAAGTGTTTTTGATTCTGTGTAAAATAAAAGAATGGTTTTATTTTTTTTACTGTTTGGTTTGAAGTAAAGTGAAAATAAGATATTTAAAATGTAATGCATTGGTCGACGGTGGAGATAGGCAGGCAAGCGCTGATAGTGGTGGTGGTGGTTGGTTGTGGCTGGCTGCGGAGATGGCTGGTGATGGAGATTGCTAGCAGCCGGCCGGCGGGACCACCAACAGCAAAGGGCAACGGTGGGCAAGAGCACTTTACATGGTTGTGTAAGAGTGCTTGAAAATTGATCAAATGATCAAATTTCAAATATAGATATTCGGCCATATTTAACATTGTATCAATAATATTGGGGTTTAAATGTAAAATCTTATTGTAATATACACGCAAAACAATTACAATGCATGACTGCAGACAAAACAGCCCCGGTATGTGAAAAATCTTCTCATTGTCAGCTGAACCCGTTTATCATTTTTATAGAATTATTGATCATTATTTACTGTGGGATTATCCTTATTATTTGGGTAAGTGCTTTTTTTTTAAAAATAGGATTTACATACATACGACTCCATTCCTATATATTTACACATCTAGTACCCAAAACTTAAATTTTTACATACATACCATTTTACCTATGCAAGAACGATGTGTTTATACATTCCATTAGGGCTATCAAAATGGCTCGTTGATCGTGAATGGTTTTGTGTTCCGCTTGTTAAGAATCTTATGATCGATTTGTTCTCTAAGCAAATGAGTCGAGCACAAACAATTTTTTCGCACTAAATATATAAATGAGCCGAACACGAACATAGAATTGTTTGTTCGTATTCGCCTTGTTTTGGCTTGATATAATTATTTATATATTAAGGGTGTCGCCTACCTCAACATGTTGGTTGACATCCATGGTATAAGACCCCTTAGGTCGGGGGTTCAAATTCGCTCAGATGCAGTTGGTCTTACGAAGGCGGTATTAGAATTATTAGTCAGATTAGGGGTGGTTGGATGCCCGTATAATGGCCTCTGGTCATTCCTTTTAATATATATATATATGTATATATATATATATATATATATACATACATACATACATACATATATATTCACTGTAATTCCCCTTAGGTGACGAATTCGATATCTAGTGGTGTTGAGTTCTCAAACAATTAGGCACATGACGCAGACTCTCATCATGGGGCCTAACGCATGAGAAATTGGTATTTGGGCCTCTGCCAAATACTGATTTCCTTTTAAGAAAAAAATATGTGTAATGTACCACAATTTTATGTTATGTCTGACAGCTTTATGTCATGTCCTACAGTTTAACTACTTCTTCTGTTGGGCAATTCAATCTGTTCTCCTGCTCGGCTAGGCAATTCAACTAGTTCTTCTTTTGGGCTGAGTAGTTCAACCAATTCTCCTACTGGCCAGTTCAACTCTTCTGCTGGGCTGCGTTGTTCAACCAGTTCTCCTGCTTGACAATTCAACCAGTTCTTTTACTGAGCTAGACAATCAACCAGTTTACCTGTTGGACAATTTAACCAATTCTTTTACTAGGCTACACAGTTCAACCAATTCTTCTGTCGAGTTACGCAGTTTAACCAGCTCTCCTGTTGGGCTAGGTAGTTCTACCAGTTCTCTTGTTGAGCTCGGTAGTTCGACCAGTTTGCATGCTAAACAGATCAATTAGTTCTTTTGTCGGGCTGTTCAGTTCAACTAGTTCTCCTGTTGGACAGTTCAACCAATTCTTCTACTGGGCTGCATAATTCAACAAGTTCTTCTGTGGAGCGCTTAAATAATTCATCCATCATGCTGTTCAACAATTGGGCACCTCAGAAGGCTTTTTCAAATGCATACATTAGTATTTCTTAGATATGTACACATCATTTGTCAATATCACAGAACGCTTTATGATTTAATTCATTGTTATATTTTACTTCTTATTTCAGCCTTCAATTTCAGCATACTTCGCTTGCTTCATCTCTCAGGGAACTGAGAGGAAATTCCTAAAAAGAAAAAAGATATTGTAATTAAATAACGTAAATTATGTTTAGAATGTTACATATTTACAGCTTAATTTTCAGGCAACTGTTATATCTCACTATAACTTTGTAGCTGCTTCCAAAATGAAAATCAAATTTTTATAAACAAATCATTTTGAACAAAGTGGTAAAATGAAAAAACAAATAATTTTTTAACATAATTGTTTACAAATATTTTTATAAACTCTAGAAATAGAGTGAATATAGGGCCGATGAAGAATGACGAGACGACCGAACTCATTACTTCACGTGCTCCGAAACTCTCTTCTATCCCCTCATTCATCCCGCTGGTGCAACTGAAAAGAAGTGATGGGATCGTGTCGTACAAAGACCTCTGACTCCTATCTTTCTGCTTCTTTGGCACTGCACCTACTTGAAAAGTCAGGACCGGATCACGACGTACAAAAATTACTAAACTCTCATCTTTTCAATCCTTCAGTCCCACCTTTACTCACAAACATAGAAAAAGTTGACATTCTGCATGTAAGAACTTCTCTAAACATTGAGTATGCTTTGACATTCATGATGGTACGCTGTTGTGTCAGATTTTAATCCTTGATCCCAGGAAAGAGAAAACGTTTTGAATGGAAATTGCAGGTTGCAAATGCAATGATGGCTGGGAGCAGGTGGCCATATGACTTAAAAACCTGTAGTTTAGAGATTTAGACCAACCACTCGTCAGATTTTTTGAGAGTTATCACATGGTATTGATATTCATAGGTTCATACATAATCCGGAGAGGTCAGGAGAATAGTTGAAACTCATAATTCAGCACATAAGAATAATGGGAGACTAACTGCAATCCACAATATTAACGAGGGACATTTACATATATATATATCACCCAATTCTTATGTATTTACATATCTAGCACCTAAGTTCTGATCTTTACATTTATATCACTTAAATCTTTCATCTCACATCAAAAATACCTCTTTGTTAACTTTTGAAAAGTGAAATATACCTTTTGCATGCTTTAGGTAAAGGTGGCGGCATATATGTAGAAATTGAAGTTTAGGTGTTAGACATGCATATGTATATAAGAATTGAGTGGCATGCATGTAAATCTTCCTACTAACAAACAAATAAATTCAAGGCAAGGCTAGATCTCTATATGTATTTGTTCACTTCCAAGCATATCATTGATTACAAGGGAATGAGCTTTAAATCTGTGGTGTTGAATGCATATTGTCATGTGCATCCAAGCTTAAATTACAAAAGTCACTCTCTTATTCTTTCATGTGGACCTTGTAGCTCACAGTCACTAAATACGAGCCCCCAGCCAACCTCATGCACCTAACCACTAGACTGAACCGCACACTAGCGGGATCGAACGCCCGAGCCCAGGGGACTTAGAATTGACATAATAGATGCCAACCAAAAAGTAGGAGAACACGGCATAATCAACCACTCAGCCGGAGAACACTAATTTAACCAATTAAGCACCAAAAAGTATGAAACAACATACATTACGTTTTACAATTCTCTATGAAGCGAGCAAGCACAGGGAAAAACCAAACCTACTTTTCTTTTGAAAGAATTCAGCAGCCTCAACCCATCAAATTCAATCAAAATGACTGCAAATTAGACAGTCAAATAAGCTTTCATCGAGTCTGTAAACTATATATCATGCACACTGCATATTTTATTGTTAGGTAGGTCATATTGAAATAGAAAATAAAAGGGGGCATTTACATACATACCACACCCAACTTATATGTATTTACATATCTAACACCTAAATCCTACTTTTTTACATTTGTACCACCCAAATCTTTTATAGCACCTATATCTTTTTGCATTTTCACCAACAAACCTTCAATTTGGATTGACAATTTAAAACATTTCCTTAAACATTACCATTAACTTGATTATGAGACTGTTGAAATTCTTAAAGCAAAAATTAATGGAACAAGATCAAGTAACATGGGGAAGCAAATGAAGTATAATCAATATAGACTGAAATGAGGCATAAACTTGATGAATTATGTCATTTGATCAATATAGAGACCACCTGAACAAGCACTTTAAGGGTAGTAAACAAATAATTTTTGCTTGTTTACATATTATAATAGGTTTATAAATTGTAATAAAGAAATTATTTTATCAAAATGATCTTGTTGCAACTAGATCATAAATAATGCCTTAACAAGGTCATTGAAAAATAAAGCATGTTATGAGCAAACTGTTAGTACTACCATGCATGCAAATAAAATTTTTAGAGAGAAATGCTTCTTTTACAAAGCCTTTCACATGGATAATTGTCAAATATAATTTTATTAAAAGAAGATAATTCATGAATATCCCTTGGAAGATTAATTAGCTGAAAACTTACTATTACAATTGGGTACTCTTGATATTTGTTGAATCTAACCTTGCATCTGCATTATAATTTATTTACAAGTTGAACATGTGATTATATTAGAACTTGAACTTCTAATAAAAACTCATGAATATGAACATGAGCTCCTAAAAGACATTGAATATATTCCTAAATATGAAGCTGAACAAATCATGCCCACATTAGTTGATATACATATCATAATGTAGGTCACCATCATATGACAGAATCACAGCACCAACATAATTGATCCTCATTACTTCTAGTTTGGGGAAGACAAGAAAATCAAAATCTATCACCAATGATCCCCAAAAAACTCCATAATATTTCAAGACTGCATCAAATAGCCGTCAACTTTCACTTCTAGAACGATTGGATTTCCTGCATGTATAACTTTTCAATAATTACAAGAAATTAAAAAAAAATTTCATTTATATCCAAACTAACAAGTTA